AATTAACTCTATCCCAGATGAAAGCAGGATAAAAATCTATGTGTTTTTCCACATGGACAAAATTGCCAGCTCTCGAGAATCCATAGAAAGCTCTATCAGAACCTAAATATGTACCAAAAAAGCACTGCAGAGGAAAAAACTTTGCTCCGTGAAACAAGTTTCTAAAAGTTCTACTCTTTTATTAAAGGGCTGTATAATATTAGGAAAAATTATTCTGCAGTGTTTAGTAATATGTTCTCGACGTGTAACTAGCTGAAATGTTCAGCACCCTATACATCAGGCCTGAAGTTCGTGGGGCTTAAAAAAAAAGGGGGTGAGGTCAAAAGGTTTTCGTAAAAATTGAAAGGCAAGTTACCTTTGGGTGTTCAGGCCCAAGTTTCAGGTTTCCCTTTACAACCCGACGAGGAGGGTTGGTGATGGTCTGTCCCTCACTGCAATTGAAAGCAGACATTTTGGAGCCTAGAATTTGAGGCCTTGAGAATAATGGAGTCTTTCTTGGTGTAAAATTAATGAATTGCCAATCATGAGCATGCCTGTATGGCACACTTGGGGGGAATAGGCTAACCACTGTAAGCCATGCTGTTACAGCTGCACGGAGACCGGTAACGTGGGGTCTGTGCACTTGGCTTCTTTGCAAAACGTAGACCTGACTAGCGTGTAATACAGCTGTCATCAAAAGAACAAAGCAAACCTGAACCTGTCCTACGTGCGTGTTTTGTGCTGGTATAACTGCTTCAAGCAGTGTTTTAAATTCCTCTTCCCCCCATTTGTTTTTTACATGGTGGCATCCCCTTGGGTGGAGGAAGCTGGTTTAGTGCCTGTTTCTCCTTCCACCTAAGTCCCTGCTGCCTTGAGGTTGAAGTGTAATCTAACTTGTAGAGATAAGGTGTAAAAGAAAACGGAAGCAGAGCAAGAAGGTGGTTTTCTGGGAAAGCAGAAGAGTCTGGTTCCTCTCCTTTTGCAACTGTTCTTGAAGCCTCTTTTAGTATGGTTTCTGGTAGCTTTGTTTATAACGAGACGAAGATGCCTTGTTTCATGTGTTCTTCCTTCGTTAGGTCAGGATCCAGTGGCATGGAAAATGATGGGTAAAGTTCAGGGGCTGATTACACCATTCATCTTGCCCCCAAATAAATACAGAAGCAAATATTGCAACATGCTTCTTTCCATGCTAAAAAATAACTTTAAAAAGAAAAAAGTAACAATCAAATCTAAAACCAGAGAAGAGCCAAAATTATGGTTCATAGTTAGACTTTCCAGCTAAAGCACTCCTTTCTAATTAATATAATCCTAAACTGAGTTTTGGTACACGTGTTTCTTGTGCTACAGCCATAGTAATTGAGGAACCAGCATAATGACAGTGATACAACCTGTGGTATTGATTAATACCTGTGGTATCGATCGTCTAGAGAGGCAGGATGAAATAGGTTTACCCTGGGGATGGCATGACTTTTATTTTTAGCGCTTTTAAAGACAGGCCCCCATGGAGTAATCGGTACTAAAATGTAACATTTATTTATTTAATTTGTAATGATTTCAATGAATTGTCAGGTTTTAATGGCTGAATAATGCTAATGGTAGAGTGAATACCACAGCTGTACTCCTAGGCTATCCCAGGATTATTTTTTTTTCTTATTAATGTGCTGAAAACCTATCAGAATTCAGATAGTTCATATTAGTTAAATGGTGGAAAAGGTTGCATAGGCTTGTGCAGCCCTTGGTCTTTTAAAATTGCATGGGTATACGATTAAGTAGAAATGAAAGAAAAAGACCGCTTTGGCTCGTTAGTAATTGTGAGATAGTATTTGCATTTTTGGGGGCCAGTCTGGTAGTGTCTGACTTCATTTTCATTCTGGCCTGTACTTGTGAAATCTGCATCACTTTTTCTTGCTAGGGATTGTGGGGCAGATGTGCCAAGTCTGCAATGCGTGTGATGCGGCCTTGTTTTCTGACCTTTGGGATCCAGTTAGAGACGCCTGGTGGTCCCACTGGACGTGCCATTCCTTTGTAACGTCTGTCCCTGGGACAGGGAAAGCTCTGTTGGTTGAAGTCAGCTCCACGTGCTTGGCACTACGTGCGGTCATGCTATAACCGCCCAGTTTCACCAGCCTGGGATCGTGTGGTTGTTACTGACTTGCAGCAAGGCAGTCAAGGACCAAACTTGCTTCCACCATGTCTGAGCAAGGTAAAAGGTTGCTTGAATTTTGTGCCCCAGTCTGTAACTGCTCCTGCTTAGGATGTCAACCGTCATTTTAAATGGTCATTCTGATGTAAGAAATGTTGAAAATGTCAAACCCCAGACTATACTACTGGTTCTCGTCAGACTTTGACCACTTGATGATGGGTTGGTGGCTTCTCCTTGGGGTTGGTCCTTCTCTAGCTGGGGCAGCCCCACACCGGGCTTGCTCAGGCTTTGAACGTGAAACTGCAGGGTCGGATCGTGCCCGCTAGGTACTCTGTGTAAAACATCAGCGGAAACCCTGGAGATCACTGTCGTGTAAATATGAAGTGTATTTAGTGTCACTGGGAAATGCCTCTCTAAACAGAAATTAACAGCAATTTGCCTGTTTGTGGTCGTGTACTGGTTTTTGCTGGTCTAGAGTTAATTTTCTTCGTAGCAGCCTGTATGGTGCTATGGTGACAGTTGTCACTGCCTGCTTCAGATGCGTTTGAAAGCTGCCTGTTCTCAACGCTTCTGTTATGTTTCTATATTAGCACAACGCTGACTGTTCTTAAGTTGATCCCAAAAAGGCTCTTACTAGTGCTTCTACACTATTTTTACTATTATTTGAAGAATATAAAGAATTTCTGCTTACCTTTCCCATTAGAGAAAGGTTCTAGTGTAATGGCCGTTGTCCATACAGTGTTTGTAAATCGTACACTGTTTGCTTTTTTTTTTTTAATCTTCCTTCTCCTTTTACACAAACAGCCTTTCTTTGGCGCTGAAACCCTTTTTTTGTTCCCTTTCTAAATACTGGATAGAGAGTAGTTGTTCATTGTGAACGCGGCTCTCTCGCTGGGCAGCTGCATTCCAAGGACTTAGCGCAGAGGCCGCCATTGGCGGGGGCCGGCGAGATTTCGGGCGGCAGGCAGTTGCGTATATCTGCCGGCCGACCTCCCCGTGCCCTCGCAGGAAGTGAAAAGGCTCTGGGTAGTCAGCTGTGCAAGATCTGGGTGCATGCAGGCACACTCAAGATGGATGCCAAAATGGGTTAGTCCCTTTTTCTTGGTTTTCTTTAATACATGTGAATTAAACTCGCTCGTATATCTCGAGGCTTTTAATTTCTCTTTCTAAAAAAAAAAAAAAAACAACAAACCAAGAGGGTTACTTGATTCAGGGGTGGTTTGTTTTTTTTTTTTTTTTAAAGAGAGGATTATCAGGTTAAATATGTTAAACCACTTGGTTTTATCATCAAAAACCGATATGAATTGTGCAGTTTTAAGTTAAATGTCTGTGAAAGAAAGAAAAGACTTCAAAAAAAAATATATATACAGTGATAAACCTATCACGGCACTTGCTTTAAAAGCAAAATGTAATTGGATGAGTTCTGCATGTAAGGCACGGATGCTAGCAGTACGGTACTATTTTTAGACGTGCCAAGTGACAGTTCGTGCTTACCAAATGTAGGCAGCTGTTCTTGCTTTAGAATAGGCCTGGAATACTTGCATTAAATGCAGGAGATTGTAATTCATATTGTATAAAATAAAGATTAAAACAGTTGCCATGAGGAAAGGTACAGTTTGGCAGGGCTGTTCCTGAGAATTGGTTGGGGGTTTTGTTTTTATGTTGTGGGTTTTTTGTGTTTTGTTTTTTTTTTTTTTTTCTTTTAAATCTGCTGTGAATACCTTGTGTGTAAGTTAAAACCAGAAAGCTGCTTCTAGTAATGCAGTAATTCTAGTAATTAGAATTAGTAATGCTGCTTCTAGTAATTCTAGTAATCTTTTTTCTTTCACTTTAGAAAGAAATATAAATCTGATCAGTTGGAGAATATAAATCAATTTCATCGTGTACTCTCTTGGACTGAGAATTACAAATTGAGTTTTCAGTGACTTTTAACACAGAATTTCCCTTTGAGGACTTAACAATGAAACCAGATATCTGTGTCATTAAGCTCCGGCTGATTTGGTGGTTCTCCAAATGGAGTGGAGACAGAGTGAGGGAACAAGCGCTGGGTGCAGCTTAACTCTGGCCTGGGAGGTCCTAGCTTGGGGATTTTTTTTTTATAGATTGCTGGGAACAAAAGACTTGAAGATGGATCGCTAGAGGCCATTTGGCATTTGTCGTATGCTTCAATTCCAGCCATTTACCTTTGTTTCTTGTATTTTGGAAACTGTCACACAGATGAATTACTGTCTTTACATTCCTTATAACAGGGTTCAGGTATAATGCGTTTCTGCTTGTAGTAAGTGATTTCCTAGGAAGCAGTAAGAACCCGCTATCAGTGGGGAGGCGTTAAAACTGTGTTACCGAGGAGGGAGTATCTCATTTACAGGACTAACGCCGCCTGCAAACGGAGAGGAGTAGGGCTCATACTTGGTGTGTCACATGATACGGGAGCAGCACCCAAGTCTGAATGTATGGATGCTCAAATTGCAGCATTTAAAAATAAATAGAATTTCAGTGTTTGCAGCAGTACTCAGAAAGAAATGAGTTTTTGTAAAGATTTCTTGCATGATTGAGGAGCACAAAATCCAGCAACTTTTTTTGGCAAGACTGGTTTTGAAAATCTCACCCAGGCGTTATGGATACTTGCAGCTCAACTTAGGTTTACGGTTTACAACGATTCATAGGTCAAGCTCACAAGCTCCTTTTACGTGCTAAACTTGCTTAACGTAAGGTGTACAGAGACACTAACAGACGCTTTTGTGATTAGAAGCCAAACCAAAGAAAATGTAGTTGAATTGAGGGATTATAGCCCATACAAAAGGAATTCTGTGATGACTTGATTTTTTGTGTGTGGTTGATTTTTACAAATATTAAAGAAAAGTTGTCTTGCTTAGAGCTTCATTTCTTTGACAGGGAAAATAGAAGTGCAGCTTTGTAACATGAAGAGACCCAACAGAATAACAGGTCAGGAGGGTGCGTGGGTAGGGTGGGCTGCAATTTGACGAGGACTTTGGACTGGTGCTGTTCCGAGAGGAGGAGCGGCACCTCCTTCAGCTGGCTGCTCGCTCGCTTACCCTGTACGTTTGTGGAGTCACACAGTGAACCACAACCAGAATCTGATCCGGCTGGCTGCTTAGGTTTTATTTTTATTTTTTTATTTTATTTTTTTTGTTGGTGCGGTAGTTGTCAGCAGAATGCAGAGAACCAGGCTCGTTCTGTGTGTGACGGAACCAAGTGGTGGTGCAGGGGTGAGGCTGTTTCTTTCCGCAAATCTTTGGTTTGTGATAAATCTAAGGTGTTCAGGCAACTGTAACCTGGTTCTGTCTGTAGAACTTAAGGAAATTTCTACGGAAATGGGAATTAAATACTTGGATAAAATATTTTGCATTATGAAAATGGCAGCTTGAAGTTTCTCACCCGGATTCTCATCTTTCCAGCGCCTGCTGCTCAGTACGGTTTCCCTGCGGAAATAATTAGGAAAGGACTTCAGCTTCTGAAACACTGTGAAATTGCACAGTAGCCCCACTGGCATTTTCATGCTGTACCTACAAAGGGATTATGCAAACTTTGCCCTACAGAGGCTACTAAGTATTTACTGTTGGTGCATTGCTATATTTTCATCCTGTAAGAAATAATAGACAAATTTTTTTTAAAATTTTCTTTCATAGTCATTCAAAGTAAGAACCTGTTCTGAATTGTGATATGCTATTTTACAATGAGCTTTGGTGATGTTTAGGATAAGATTCCTAAACTTGTGGTGTCATAGTATTAATTTTTCTGTCATTTATCTTGAGTTCTGTATCTAATACATTATTGCTATTAACAAGCAGTTTTGATGCAGAAGAGGAATTTGTTCTTCTGAAAATCTAATCAGCTGTGGAAGTAGAAATCATGAAGGGTGAATTTTATTGTATGTTTCATCATAAAAGTATAAAACTGGACTAGATGCCTCTGCCCAGTTGTGTACTGTGCAATGGAGAATCCCGTTTGCCAGATTTCATGACTTCAGTGAGGTAATCAACTGGATGCAACAGCACCTCAAAACAAAGCAAGCAGCAATGGATGTATTAAGCCATTACCTATGACTTGTGCAAGGGTTTAGTTTAAACAGTGATGCTAAAAATGGCATAATACAGTGTTCTCTCATGAGGGTCACTTAAGGAAAAAATAAACTCGCCTTACAAATGAAGTATTTTGCCTTGGAGCACAGCAGATTTAGCCTGGATCGAAATTTCAGTGAGATTATTCCCTCTTGATGGCTCAGTCTGTCACCCGTAATCAACATTATAAACTCCCATGGAAATGTCTTCAGTCTAAAGGAGACAAAATGAACTTCTAATGAGTCTTGAGTGGTGCCTTTGCCTCTACCAGACTTGCAAAGATAAAATGGTTTAGAGATCTGTTAGTGTCTTGTCGTTTGTCCTAACAGGGAATCAGAATCAATCTATTTAGTGAGTGAGCTCCACAAAATGCACAAAAATAAAATGAACTGTAGCACAAACTGCTGTGGTTCTGGTGCAGAACATAGCACAGTAGTTGAAGAGACTAAGTCTGACATTGCTTAAGGGCAGAACTGTTCTTAAATTTTAACAATTACATTTGAGGTAATCCTAATAACAATAATCCCAATAATCTGAAGACCAATGCAGAATCAGTGCTAACATAGCCTATTTCTAGTTCTAATTTCAGCTCTGGTTTGACAGTGAGATCGCAAGTTCCATTCTTGATGACTCTCAGCAGTCACGTGAATCATGTTTTACTGTTTTCATGTGGATGCAAAAGGTATCTTGTTCTAATTTCTCACCTTCTTTAAAATTTTAGTTGTTGACCTCCTTTACTGGCGAGACATTAAGAAGACGGGAGTGGTGTTTGGTGCCAGCTTGTTCCTGCTGCTTTCATTAACAGTGTTCAGCATCGTGAGTGTGACAGCTTATATTGCCTTGGCCCTGCTTTCTGTGACGATCAGCTTTAGGATATACAAGGGAGTTATCCAGGCAATCCAAAAGTCTGATGAAGGCCACCCGTTCAGGTGAGATTTTTCTTTCTTTTAATTAAAAAAGTGTGTTTTGGGGAATAGCAGTATTGGTGCTGTTAGAAGCAGTAGATGACATACGCCGTAATATGTTGCATAATCATGTAAATAGTCGCTGTACTGAAAAATCTGTTACCCAGCCTATGATTAGTAGTCTTTCAGTTTTTCTCAGTAGGCATACATAGCCATAAAAAAAAATGAACTGAGCACCTGGTACAGGGGATATCCCTGGGAATGCTGGAGTGTCTTAAGTTAGATTAAAAAAAATTAAATACTTAAATCTAATGGAGTAATGTGTGCATTTTAGAATGGTATACTATATATGTATATATAATGTCTATAGTCAGAATGTGAACCAGTCGCAGATGATGTACAAAATTTAAAATGTAAAGAATACCCAGGAGACGCAGCACTTTCAATGCACTATATTTAGCAAAAATCAGAATAAACATAGCAGGGGATACTTTCATCTTTTTTGACTTTTTTTTTTTTTAAGAATGCTGTTAAAATTTATGTTTTAGTGTGTAGCAGCATAGCTGTGTTCTCCACATGCCAGGCTGCCTTGTCATCAGCAGAATCCAGGTTCATTGCAGCCTGCCAGGTTTATTGCAGATCAGAAATCCAGAAGCTTGGACTTAGAATTCTAAGGCTCGAGGAGTTGAATCAGAGGATTAATTTATGTCCTCAAAGAGGACCGACAAGCTCTTTAAGTGATGAGCGAAGTCCTTGGGGCATGCCGTGTGTGCACTTCCCTGCAGTGTGGGAATATGGTATCTGTGGTATTCATCCTTTCCTCTGTGGAGTACAGTGGTGCCCATTATTGGAAAGCTGCATCTTAAGAGAAATAAAAACTTATTAATGCGTTAGAGTACTTTCTAAGAGTGGATGTTTCCTGTTTCCGTACCAGCCCTGTCCCACACTGCTCAGACTTGCTTCTCTCCTTTTATTCATCAATGAAGTGGTTCAATCTCAACTTCCCTTGCACCTTTCAGAAACTCCTGCTTGCCCTCTTATTTACCTCTCTTACTAATTTTGTCGCGCTCCCAATTATTCTCATTCTCTTCCATTATCTTCAATAAGGCAAAGTAAAATGTTTTCTTGGGTTTACCTCCATTCCTCCCTGACTATGTGTAGTGGCTCATTTACCCAGCGGAAGCCAATCTGTGCCTAAAACAGCTGTGGGACAAGTCTCGGGGGGGAAAAAAAGGAGTATTTGCTCTCAAGCTTAGATCTGATATGAAGAAAATACATCTGAACAATTGGCAACAACATTCAGTATAGCAGTATGAAGTATGTATCTTTTGTAAACTTAGATTTTTTTTTTAACCATCAAGGCCTTGTGTGGCTCTCCTTGTTCAGCCTCACTAGGGTGAATAATTCCCAGCTAGAAATCCTGTTTGCTCTGTCTAGCCAGTAGTGCTCTTCGATATCCAAACAGCATTTCCAAGTTTACCAGTTAAGTTTGTTCTTAGCAAGAACAAGCAAAACTTGTTCTACCTGTGCTCTTCCTGCAGTTTATTTCTAAAAATACTGATATTCATAAGAAGCTTCTAGACATTCTTGTCCAACGTACCTGGCGCTTACTTTTTATCTGTATAGTTTCAACTACAAGAAGCATATTTTTACTTGAATTTAGTTTGACAGTGAAGAGCACGTCCATGAGATCAATTTAATTTTTGATTCAGATACTGAGTATCTTGCTGATGAGTTGAGAGGTGTACAGATTCAAGCCAAGTGTGGATAGCAGAATGTAGCCTTGAAATGGCCGCCCTCTGTAGTTATTGTTTACAATATTTTAATTTATTTTGGACTTGCCACAAGGCCATGTTTAACTTTGCCTTAAATGACATACATAGGAGCCTCCATTATGCGGTTTTTATTTAAAAAAACAAACAAACAAAACGACCCCAAAGCAGAATCTCCTCCTAAACAAAAGCACAAGTTTAACAACTGTAGTAATGTAAACTGATTGCCCTGTTACAGATGTGCTGCATTATTCCTTCTACCTCCAACATGCCAATTATATAAATAAATTAAACTTCGTTTAAAGAGTTTAAATTGCCATAGCCACTGCAACTGCAGATAAAAGTCGTCTTGTAGCAAAAAGAACACTTAACCAGATGGGAGCTTACATCTTTCTGTTAAAAGGACTGCTGTCAGTAACTGTAAGAAATTTCTTTAGCAAATGATGAAAAACTTGCTCATTTTACTGTGCCTTAGTGTGTTTGTTACAGCTTAATGGTAACTCCAGAAGTGCCTTCCAGCAGTATGAATGGATATGTTGCTTTTGTAGGATTTTTTTTTCTCTTTGAGAAATGAAGGAATCTCAAGTCTGGTAGAGTATTAGGCCACCTAATACAATAGCAAAACCTGAGAATGACACAGGCCCCACACCCCCCAGCCTGTCTCTCACTTAGTAAATGCCCTAGCACAACATAGCAGTAAGAAAGAAACATTTTGGGGGGTTTTGTTTCATTGTAAGGTTTTTTTCAAGGTTCACTTTTGTGTTACCTAAGAATTACTTAGGTTAATTCTGGCCTTTTAGCATTCCTCATATGCTGAGGTTTTTTTCTTTGTAACATGAAAAGAACCTGTGTTGATACTGTATATATAACATATGTTGATAGTTTGACAGCACTCTTACAGTAAAGTTTCATAGGCTTTTCTTTCTTGCAGGGCTTACTTGGAGTCCGATGTAGCCGTGTCTGAAGAGCTTATTCAGAAGTACAGTAATGTTGTGCTTGGTCACATTAACGGCACAGTCAAAGAGCTGAGACGTCTCTTCCTAGTCGATGACTTAGTTGATTCTCTGAAGGTAAGTTTGCTTCAGCTGTACTTACAGCAGCCTTGTGTAAACAGATTCCTTGCTGACCTAGGTTAGCAAAGCCCACTGGTCCTTAGAAGCATGAATGAACAATAGCATCTTTGGCTCTGTATAAGTAAATAATGAGTTTTAGTTGGCTTGTTGGAAGTCATAACCCTTTTGTTTTTCAAGAAGCATAGCTTTCTGTTAGCGCTGAGTTGAATATAAAGCACTGCGTGCAGTAATAGAGTGGATAACTTTATGCACTTTATTTTGACAGTATAATAAAAAGGAACGGAAAGCTGAAATAAGCTCTGGGTGCATGCAGTTCAGCTGTTACACCTCCTTGCTGGTTCTTAACAGCAGAAATCTTTTAAGAAAACAAGACACTGCTCCAATATGGGCATTCAGAATGTGTCACTAACGTATATCTGTCCCTCTTGAAAATCTGTGGTTTGGGCTAGACTGCCATAGTCTGGCTTGGTTTTGTTTTTTCCTGTTGGTTTCTGTCCAGAGAGGAGCAACTGGTTAGTGTACAGTTACTTGTCTGAAACAGCAGGAGTTCTTGTGTCCATTTTTTTTGCTGAAAGAGTGGGGACTGAGCGATGCCCTTGTTTTACTGGGAAGGTGGACATTTGTTTCAGTCCCTGAGTTTGGGTGGGAACAGCTGCTGCTTTTAGTGATGAGAAGTACTGAAATGGGTTTTGCAAGTTACTCTCCCTAAAGTATGCAATACTGCCTAACAGATTTCTTGACTATGTCCAGGTAGTATTTAATGGGATTTATTGAAGGTGGCAGAACAAAACTGACAGTGAATAATAATAAAAAATTGGCTGAAAACTCTTCAGTTTTGTTCTGTGAGAATTGTATACTCTCCTTTCAAGCTAATCGCCTTTCTTCATTTTTCAAACAATTGTTTCCTTTACTGAGTACAACGTGTTGTCCCTTTCTTTTTCAGTTTGCTTAATCTTCTGGAAATAAAGTTGCATTTATCCTCCAGTAAATCCCTTCCTTAGTGCTTTGTAAAGTCCTTTGAGGAGTTGTGGGGTTGGGGGAAGGTGTTTCTAATGAAACTTTGAGAAAAATAGGAAGGCTGTAAAAGTCTTTGTTGTATTTGTGGAATAGAAATAGGGTCTTACCCAGAGTTTCTAGATCCACTTTCTCATTATGCTCCAACTTAAGCACAGAGTTTGTGCAAGTCTCTGACAGTAAGTCCTTTCCCTCTGGAGAAAGGAAAGATGATAAGGCGTTGTTACCTGGGGTCTGCTGCTCGTGGTAAAGATTCATTTTCTCAGGAGGGAAAG